TCGCTGGGATTCAACACTCTCGGGTCCTCCATCGCTGGGATTCAACACTCTCGGGTCTTCCCCTTCCCCACCCCCAACACCCCGGACATCATGAGCATCATCGAAGGGCCGCTTCTCCATCAAGGCGCCCCACACCCCCTAAGCCTTCTGGCAGAACAAGTTCTGACTATTGAAACGAAAGGCTCCCTGCGGGAGAGCTTTCGTGACTATGAAACAGATCGGATTTCGACTGAAGCCATCCAGGGAAGCCGAGGCCCTGGGCCGGATACCACAAAGCCTTGGACAAGAAGGCACTGCGCAAACCCTGTCGCGTCCTCGACTGCGGGGAGCTGGACTTGGTTCGCCTCGTCGTGGCCGTGGGCCTCTGTGCGCCGTGGGCCATGCTTCTTTGAAGAGAGATGGCTGGAAGCCACTTCCCTGTGCTTGGAGCTTTCTTTTTGCATCAAGCATTCAAGTCCCCGTTTCTGTCAAGATGCGAGTCCATGCCGCTTATGCAGACGGCAAGCTTGCCAGACTTTCCCCGACCTCGGCCAAAGTTCTACCAGTCTACCACTGAACTTACCTACAAGCGGGTCACTTGTCGGGAGCTTGGATGCAACACGCCCATGGGCTGGGGTGCGGACTGGAAAACACACACATTGTCACATAGACTCAGACATTGAGACCCGAAACCCTAAAACCAAACCCTGCCTGAACCCCGAATTGCTACAATTTAACCCCTGAATCCTGAGACCCTGACATGTCTAAGTGCTTGCTGTGTTATCAGTGGAACTACAGCACCCCCCCTCCGATTCATCAGAGACTTACAAAAAATTGCGCAGCCGCAACAGAAGTCAGGAAGGGTGAGGCCCGTGAGGCCCCGACCACGGAGTTCAGGCGCCTCGCGGAGGCCGTGAGTCGGCGCTTTTTGCAATCCGTCGGGCGCGCCTCGGCCTTGGACTCCTTGGACTCCGACTCGGCTCGTCTCCGCAGGGCCTCGAAAGAACCCAACACCCAAAAAGAGGGCAAAACGGCCGACGTTCGACCTCCGGCAGGAGCTCCCGAAGCAAAAGCCTGATGTCTCAAAGGGCCTCAGCACTAAACCGTACGAGTTCCACAAGCATGATATTACCTGAAACCGTCTGAAGCATTACAGTAGCACCCGAGGCCACAGATCCTCCATGTGCCCGGATACCCAGAAGCTCTTGCCACACGCAGCCTCGGCGAATTGCAGCCACTGACGCAGCTCAGCGAAGCGCGGCGCCGTGAAGCGAATCTCCGGAAGATTTGGGACTGGTGTCTTGGGCGAGGGATTGGCCTCGGAGTTAGCTTTCGGATGCAAACTTCGCAGAACGCACCATGTGCAACAGGACCAGTCTGCTCGAACTCGCGGGAGGCAGAAGTCCAGTTGCTGTGCCTCGGGCGAATCGAGCTGTTCGAGTTTGCGGCGGAAATTACGCAAGTGAGCCTTCGAAGCAGTCAAAGCCGTCATGTTCGTAATCACCAGCATCATCTGTGGCAGCATCATCCCTCTTCTATTCCTGCTTCCCCTCCATGTCCTCGGCATTATCACCTTGTCGAAACGAGCATGGCCACCGTGACAACTACGTCCCTATCCTTGCGAAACCTAGCGGACTTAGTGTCCCCGGAATCATGGATTCCGCCATCATGTCAGCAAAGCAGCAGAATGCAAAACCGGCAACAGAAAAAGCATTGGAGCTGAATGGGCACGCCACGAACTGAAACACATGTGCGTCTGCATGCTGGCACGTTAATAACAACAACAACAACAACAACAACAACAACAACGACAACGACAACGACAACGACAACGACAACGACAACGACAACGACAACGACAACGACAACAACGACAACAACAACAACAACAACCACCACAACCACAACCACAACCACAACCACAACCACAACCACAACCACAACCACAACCACAACCACAACCACACCAACAACACCAAAACCAACACCAGCTCCAACACCACCAAAACCACAACCGCCGCCGCCGCCGCCACCACCACCACCACCACCACCACCACTACCACGACCACCACCACCGAACCACCGCAACCTGACACCCTAAACACCACCAAGGCCACCGCGTCTACTACTCCAGTTGGTACTACGACGTACTAACCCCTACGCCCCCCTCCTCAGTGACTATGACTTAAGTAGTTGCCCGCCGCTTGAACCTCCAGGGCAAGAGCAAGATGCGCATGCGGCCGGTGCAACTTGCTAATCCCTTGCAGGACGCCGAAATAGAGGATGCCGAAGCACCAGCGAGGTCAGAAAAGCTAACCACCAAAACCAGAAATTGGAAACTACCCGCTGCTGTACGAAATCTGTGGGAGTACATACGGTTTACATACTGTTCACAATAGGGTAAGGAACCCAGAAAAGCATTGGGCGCACCTGGAAGCCATCCACTGAGCAGCGCAGCCAGTGAATGGGAGGCCGGAGCTGTTGCTTCCTCACGGTCCAGGAGTTAGGCTCTTCCAACAGCTTGGCATGCTCTTACTCCCAAACTCCGATCAATGCTTGCTAGTGCTGCTAGTGCATATACCTTATCTGCGAACCTAAACCCATACGTGTTGCATCCCGGGCCGACTGTCACACTTTCGAGCTCAACAGTCCGGTGGGCGGGCCAGGTGGGCTTCGGTGTAGTCTGCATCCCATGCCACCAAGACCGTTCAAAAATTTGCCAACTTGGAGCGGTGCACTTCGCCCTCCAACAGTCTGAATATCAGCCCTGCCAAGACGGGCTTGCTGCTGGCAGGTGGAGCAAAGCCCCGCTATCCCTGCTTGTCCCAAGCAGCTTGAATCACAGCTTCGAACAAAGCCCCCACCGCTGTAAGACGGAAAAGCTTCCTCGCTACCGCGTTTTGCTTTCATCGCACTGAAATGCGGCCTCAACTCTCCTCAACACAAGAACTTCCAAGGACCCTCCGTGTAGAGGGAGCGGACCTTAAAGAGCTCTTGAAGGCTCTGACTCTGACCTTGGGGCCTTGGGGCATAGATATTCAATGATCTGCCGCGAGAGGCCTGCAGTTGGCCAAGCGCAGCATCGACCTGCAAAAGCATCCAAAAACCCAAAAACGGAGCCACGGGCCAAGGGTCCTAAACACCCAATCACAGTTCAAAGCCAGACCCCTAACACCCAGCCCAAACCATCCCGAGCCTTGATCCTTAAGTCCAACCCTAGATACTAGTTCAGTGCAGTGCCTACGGTCCTACAGTTGTTTGGCAGAACTCAGGGCAGCCGATCGCCTAGGGCAAACAAACGCAAGAAACCAACAACACGTTTCGGACCTCGTCCGCATGGGCGGCAACATCCACGAAGGCCAGAGTAGAAACCTGTCGTTGTGGGCTTCACGCGAAAGACGCAGATAGAGCTTCGGGCTATGGGCCTGAGCGTGCTGACATTTAAGGGCTCAGATTTTCGGGCCCGAGCCCGCAACTCTAAGCCTCGCAGGATTCTGCGTCAGAAATAGCGTGCAATAGCGGGCCCAAACTCTTCACTTCCTCAGCCATGCAACCGCTTTACATGTTTTAGCATTGCCTCTGCGTAGGGTCTCCCGGATGCGAGGACGCAGGCTACAGACCCAAAGCAGGTTTCCAAGAAATAGCCCGCCCAAAACCCTCCAGTTAAGCTCTCTACACACTCTTGCCTTAATATGCACACCGCTGCTACGAAAGAATGTCAATGTGACATGTACTCAGACCTAGTGTGATGGCTAGAGGTGTGGAAGAGACTTGACAAACGGAGATGTTTGCCTTTCCCTCGGTGTGGCACGGTCCTTTGTATTCCAGGAATTGGCATTTTTGGTGTCAGGGATTGCCGGGCCTTTCTGCTTGTTTCGTTTTGGCCCCTTCCTTTGCCTTTGAGTTCAAACATTTACGTCGCCTTAATCTTGTTCTTTTGCGTGTTCTATTCCGCTTTCCGGGTTTAGACCTTTCCACCTCCCTTGCTTTGTGCTCCTCGATCTGTTGCGCAGCATATTTCCGTAAGGTGAGTGTCCTGCCAGTTTGCAGCTTGTTTGTCCTAGGTCTTTCTGGCCGTTGCGCAACAGTGCCTCACAACTTTAAGCAGGTTCCTGGAAAATAGCAAAGTCTAGATGTGGGAAAAAGAGGAAGAAAATCAAGAAACACGAAGCAAACAGGAGGTGCAGGTCCAATACTAAAAAGTAGAACAACAAGACGAGGTGGGCGGCACGCGGAAAGACAGAAAGAACAGAGCATAAACGAAACAAGCAGAAGGCCGATTCCGCACAGACAGCAGGTAGCAACAAAACAGGGCCAGGTCTCACCCAAAAACGGCTCTCCAGAACAACAAGCCGAGGACCGGTTCCCCGCCACATCTACGACCAAAGAGGGCCGCCACACCCAGGAGAAGTCAAGAACGACTACCAGACCAGCTGCCCAGAACACTCAGGAAACAAGGAACATCTAAGAAAACAAGGCCTCGCCACACCTTGCAAAAAAGTACCCGACCCCACGGCCCACTCGACAGCAAGACAAAACAATGCATAACTTGAAGGTGACTGTTTACCTAACCAAGTTTCATCCCAACACAGGCCAGCTCTAAGACCGAAATACTCTGAGCCCTCGCTAGCGGACCTGGACAAGCAAATGATCACGAGCGGAACGCGGCATACGTGGCAATGGCACCGACAGACACAGCTTGGATGCAAGCTGCACGGACACGACGGCGGGGACCAACAGGAGTGCGGCCGGAAAGCACCGATGGGCAACCACTCGTTAATGTGAGACTGATGGCTGCCTGGATAAAAACCAATCTAGGAGAATCAAGAACATGAAGGTTTAGGTAAAGCTGCACTGAGCACATGACGCATTACTGCTGATTCTTCCATTACCGGGAACTGTTGCCTGCGATGTCTGGCCTCCCTTTTCTGCCCAGGAGCATCGCGACAAGCGCGGAGCACGTGCAGCGCCTTGTTTTGGAGCAACCCCACAAAAACTGAAAAGCTTACGAGATTGGGCAGGTGGGCTTTTACTTGATCGGCTTTGGGATGGGGAACTTCTCACTCAGGTCAGGCGTCAGGGGTTGCGGGGTTTGACTCGGAGACACGCGACCTCGGGCCCGACACGACACTGGCACAGTGGCAAGAGTCCTCTCTGAGACTTGACATCTTCCGCCCCAAACCCTCTGGGACCGAGCAGCAGCATGCAACGGCTTTTGTTTGGCTCACCATTGAAGTGCAAGGCAGATTGCGGCTTACCCTGCAATGTGCGGCAATTTCTTGTAAACTCCGATGCGCCACGACCAACACCGCATGGAAACCAATATCATTCCAGCCGTCACGGTCATCAAGTTCACAACAGACTTCAGTGACCGGCAACAGGCTCAATAGCAGCATTCAAGTCCTAGTCATGATCAATGCCATGCTGCTCAACGGCTCACTGTCTTCATCGCATCACCAAAATCATGGTCAGCATCGTGTTTTTAGCTTTGGGAAGCCATCTCACCATCAAGAATCACTCTCCACACCGCCATTGACATGCTCTGTCCCACTTGATCCCAGAGAGCCCTCGAAACCACCTCAGTAGCGGAGAAATAGGAGCCAAAGGCGCGAAAACCACGTGGCTTCTTGAGGAGTCCGGGCTTTGCGGGCCAGCCTTCAGGGTCTCGGTTTCGCTTCGTCAACTACTTGGGAATTTCAGGCGCAAACGGCTTTCCATCCTATAAATACGGGTGTCCTTGCAGGGGAGTAGCCTTGGTTGCCTTTGTTGCAAATCATACTGCGAACATGGGGTTCAGAGTTTAGCTCTGCGCTTCGAGAAGATACGTTTGCAGGTAATTGATCTATGTCTGCACACGGGTCAGCAGAAAGTTTGGAGAGACCTTTCTGCAAGCACCACAGGCCTGCACATTCCGGATATGCTGCTGACGCTATGGTAGAGCATCTTGCTCGACCGGGCGTCAGCAAGCTCATACCGCAAGATGCAAGCACCCCACAACATGCCATCGCATCACCCAGATATGTCAGAATGGCGAAAGAACGCAACGTTGCAAATGCTGCCGTTTTTAGCAACACGACCAAGGCTGACCTCAAGCTTCCGCTGCACATCGCCGTGGCAGAGCAGCTTGAAAGCGACCGTTTCCTTCGGTGTGCACACGCCCCTTCTACCTGCTTGTCCTGGACATCAGACAAGCTCAGAAGCTGCACAAAGGAACACCAAGGAACGTGATTCTGCCTCCAACACTCACATACATGCACACAAACTCGTGTATGGCCAGGTCGGCACTTGCACTCAAGAAAGCAAAACTACTATTTCGGCGCAAATGCATCTTCAACTTGCCTCGTACCGACCCGCAGACACACCACTGTCTTCCTACCAAGGTGCTGTTACTTGATGTCTCGGGTTGTAGACAGTTCGAGGCAGACATTACACAGTGGCTGCCGTAGGTGCAAACGTTGAGGTAGGCATGACAGGGCAAGATGCGGCGAGGAAAACCCAGTCACAAACGACCCGGCCTAGACTTTTCTGCCTGAACGGAAAACCCTGAAACGACAGGCAGAGGCTCACTCGCTGCCGGCCACCGCCGCGGAGCGGCGTTGGGAGGGCCCATGAGGTCGTTGAGTCGGCCCTGTCCAGCACATCCCACTGCAGCAAAGCGAACATCTGGGAAGTATACTGCATGATGACAATACAAGCGACGAGAATGCTTAGCAGAGGGGCTTCGAAAGGAACAGGTTTTGGGTGCAGCATCTGGGGATGAGGCATTTCCATGAGGGATTGGAGGCTCGAGGGGCAAAGAGTGAGAGGTTGAGGATGCAGGGTTTAGTGTGTACATTTAGAGCCCGCCCACCCACTCACCCACCCACCCGCCCACCCACCCACCCACCCACCCACCCACACACACACACACACACACACTTCGGCTTGGCACGAGTGGCTGCGGCGAGCGACCGGCAGGACAAGACGACGACAAATTGCAGCAATCATGCAGAATCACTTTCCCTGATTGGCCCATGACGGAAGCAACAAGTTTAAGGGTACTTTGGGCGGCCACCCAGGCACACACCAGGACATCTCCCAGTGCTTCACCAAGAGTAAATGGGTGTCTTCGCTGGCAGCGATCCCAAATTTTCTGTCGCTGCACTAAAATTGGCTTCAGGTAAGTGCCATGTCCAGGCGTTTACACACAAACACACACAGTGCAGACACAGAGACGCACAAATGCACAAACACACAGACAGATACAGACACGTGCCAGTGTGTGCGTACCCTAGCTTTGGGCCACGTTGCACGAGGAATTCAATAACTGGCTTCAGAGGACAAAACCGAACCTGGTAGATCTCGAAGAAAGAGATCTGCACTGTGAAGTCCGCCATGTCTTCGCGGGCAGCTATGGCCTCGAAGGACTGAAAGGAGCACATTGAGAGTTGGGGGCTTGAGGCTATGTTATGGGCCGGGTCTGAATCCGCTGCATCGGACCCTTACGTCTTTGGACAATGTAGGTCAGGTGTTGGGGTATCTTCTGCCTAGAGAGGCCAGACAAACCCGGGTATCGCTGTCACATTGCGCCCATGTCCATGTGGAGGCTCACTCCGGCTGAACGCCCAAACCTGAGCAAATTCCAGAAGATGCGAAGCCTCTAGCAAACGCTAAGAATCCAAACCATAGCTCAGATGCCAGTATGGAGCACGCCCTGCAACCTACGAACAGCCACGGACCTCGAAGAGTGCGGTGACCTGCGCAGCTGGAGGGCTTAGGCCCGCTCTCCAAATCTCTTGTTGTTGATTGTGTTCCAGATTATCGAGAGATCATAGTCGGGCTGCAGGAGGGTGTCAGATGGTGTCAGGAGTGGCATGAGGCCGGCTGGGGAACGGTATCTGATCCGTGTCTATCTGTACTAAGTTAGCGCCGGCAGGTAGATCGGCAGTGTGTATTTGGCGACGTGGATACAAGAAATATACAGGGACCCAACAACAGCTCGAGGGGAAAATTATGGAAAATTGCTGCTCATCCAGCGCAGGCAGATGCCCGACTGAACAAACTACACCAAGCGAGCGAAGGCATTTCGGCATCTCATGGCTCTTGCATTGGTATGCAAGCCATTCCACTGCCATGGCCCAATTCCCTCAAGGCAAACTCCGGCGCAAGCAATACAACAGTCACTTTATCTCCAAATGAACGTCGTCTTGAAACCCACAAGACCCTCAATGCCCGATCAAGCCTGCAGAATCCCCGGTCTGAAACCGTGGTGCCTATTGAGGCCACAGCCTCAGACGCTTCCCCAAACGCTCAAGGCCCCCGCACACCGCGGAATGAGTCCGCGATCAGCAAAGTGTTTGGCACCACCAGTGACAGCCTTGGCAGCATTCCAAGCCACAGGAGAGCCCGAACCATCTCCGAACAGACATCATCCTTGGAGCCTAGAAGCCAAACATGCAGATCTACCAGACCATGACGGCAATCCAACTTTCCGCCTGTGTCCTCGTCCTCAACATTCGTCCACCACCGCGTCCCCAATGCTACTGGCCCTGCCTCAACTCCTAAGTCCTAAGTACATTCAGAGCTGCAAACTCTCACACACGAGTCGTCCTAACCCCGGCCCCCTGCATGGTGGAACGGGGTTTACTGCAAGCTCTTTACAGTACAGACACATATTACAGATCTTGCTGCAGCAATGAAACCCCCCAAACCAGAAAGGCTGGTTGAGAACATGAGCCCCCTGGAGCTAACAACCCCTGCCCGTGCCCGAGCCACGAAAGGGAAAGCCTCCGCAATTCTGCAAACCCTGAGACTAACCACTTGCTGACTGCTTCGGCATGACGTAGGATTTGCCGCTGCCCTGGGCCCCCAGAGCCAGGAACAGAGCACTCTCGGGCACCTCTGGGATGGGACTCTGGACCACAAACCCTGAACCGGGTTTCAGGGTCCATTGGTGTTTGGTTCCGGCAGGACGGTTGCACAGGCCACCCGTTTAAAGGCCCTTAACATCGGAATGATTCTTGGCCCCGTCGGACAGTGTAGGAGTCAATAATCCCTTGCCATGTTTACTACTCTCCAGCCTGTTGAATACTTTGGCCCTGCACCCGGATCCATCCCCGAAAAGAAGTCTGTTCGAGAATTAAGGAGACTGACTCAAGGCTTAGAGCTTGGGGCTTCGGTTTAGAGCTTCGGCGTTCAGGTTCACACTTCCGGCGTACCGCTTCGGGGCCTGCAAGTTTGGTCTTTGGGTTTGGAGCTTAGGAGTTTTTGGCTGGTTCCGCTGGCACACTGTTATGCGCCCATCGCCCGAAACATCAAATCTTCAGCAAAGGGGCATTCCTGCAGTGGGGGGAGGCTTGTGCCACAGCTTCGGGCGGACTCGGGATTAGGAAGCGGCTGTACAGGATAGCCTTGACCACTCATCCCACTCCAGAAACTTTGATGTTCCTCACCCTGAACCCAAATCGGCAAGGTAAGGATCTATTCCCGAACCTTGTCCACCCTAAGACGTCTAAGACTAGACAGGCAAGCCGGAAGCCACCCTAGCAAACTGAGAAGCCCTCAAGCCTGCTCCCGAAACGCCTGGTTGAGGTGTGAAATCAACGTTTCGGCTTCACGTCTAATGGCTTTATTCTTTCCTGGCTTGGAGTTTTGAGAGAAGTGTCGAGGCTACATACGTATACGTACAAGGCTCATAGGGCTCACATTAGCCTCAGGATTTAGCGTGGGGCCCGTGGGTACCTCGTCCAAGGCTGAGTTCACAGCCTCCTTGGCAACCTCCCGAAAAACGGTTTCCTGGTGTCGTGGTAACTTCATCTGGAGCTTCTGAGAGCTGTAGGGTGCAAGGCAGTTGGAGTCTTGTCTTGTGACGGGCATCCCGCTGGAATCACTGGGATGTACTAAAAACAAATAATTGTGACTTAAATACGAGAACAAATACAAGAACAAATACGAGAAACATACAAGACAAATACGAGAAGAATACGAGCAGAGTGTTCGATGTCAAAACAGAGTACAAGAAAAGTACGATAAACAGAAATACGAGAAAAGTACACCCAAAATACGAGAGAAAATACAAGGGAACACGTGCGAGAAATATACAAAACATAATACGAGAGAAAATACGAGGGACAATACGACAAAAATACAAGCGAACAATAAGACAATTATCCTACAAGAAGTACGAGGTGAAATACGAGATGAGAAAATACGAGAGAACCTTGTATTTGTCTTGTATTCGTTTTGCAGAGGCATGGTCGTCTTGTATTGCTGCTTGCATTTTTCTTGTAATCCGCTCGTATTTTTATTGTATTGTCCGCTGCTGCTGGATTGCCTCTCGCATTTCCTCTTGTATTCCCGCTCGTATTCATTTCGTATTTGAATCGTATTTAAATTACTTTTGATGCATGCCAGTCGTTCCGGAACATGCCCCTCACAAGTCTTGTCGATCATATAAAGTGATAACCCAAAGTCGCGTCCGAAGCCCGAAGCGCGCAGATGCACCGCCCAAGAGCCGCGTGCAGTTGCCCGGTTCAAGCCCTGGGCCCTTAAGCTTCGATTCCTTGGGCCAGAAGGGGAACACTACGCTGACATGGACGCTTCGTCGTCACTACGAAGCCAACATTAATGGCAAATTGAGACCCTTGACCATAGCACGAGACGATTCGAAACACCCGGGGTCCCCGACCGAACCAAAAAGACGATGAGCCCGAAGATACGCGGCTCGGGCTTCGAATTTCTATTGATTTAGAGGCTATGAATTGTCAAGATGTCAGAGACCGCGACTTTCCTGCAACACGCAGGAAGATACTTCTCACGCTTCTGTCTTGTATCATTGTTGTACTGTCTCGAGTCTCGGCTCTATGCTGCGACCCTTAACTTGCCAGGTCTTGACACGGCCCTCGTGCTGGTGCTACCCCGCTCCTGTGGTGTCCCAGGAAGAAAGACGCGATCGAAGCGAAAGATCTCCGCGGCCAGGGTGTTGAGGTCGGTCAAAGTAACTCCTAAGTCTGAACAAACATCAGGTCATCAGGCGCTCGGGGCTACAAGCCCCAAACCGAAGTGCTGGGCTCCTGCCTCTTCAACCCTGCGCCAAACAAACGTTGCGGTCGTTCAGCCCACGCCTGGAATCCAAATCTTCCAAAAAAGCCCATGCTCTACTTTAACTTATTAATCGCATACACTGTGTTACATCGTTCAGTAAGTAAGCATCATAGGCCAGTGGGTTCTCTCAACATTGCTTTAGGAAAGGTCTGCACTACGGCGGCCTTTCAACAAGGCCGCCAACGCCGACTCGCGAATTCAACCCAAAATCCCGAAACACACGGTTATTCAGCACTTCTCCGAAATATTGAGAAGCTTCATACTTGTCCTAGCGCAGAGTTCCTGGATGAGGTATTGTAGGATCTGCAACTACAAACAAGAGTCTAAAGCTTCGTTTTTCTGCGGATATTGGACCGTTTCGAGACCATCTGTGCGGAAGCACATGCTGAAATAGTTGAGAAGTTCACATTCCGCAGGATGGATACTGGCTAGCCCAAAGGTTCATTCGGCGCACATCCTGTTACCATACTCAACTCAGTGGATCCTCTTTCAAACAGACGCACCGTGAAGATGCGAACCGTGAAAACAAGCACAAATAAAGTTGTAAAGCCCATTGTTGCGAGCGATCCTAGGAGCTAGCTTCTTTCATGCTAGCTTTCTCCGAATTCACTCAAGAGCTCTGGAGAGCCCGGGCGGCTCCGGTCGTCGAAGGCGAAGCGAGGCTCCGCGAAGTTCGAGTGGGGATGCACCAGGCAGACATGGCGCAGTCTGGACATTTGTTCAGGATTTCGGTGTGGGCTAGCTTCCGGGGGCGTTGGTCCAGTTGGTGCAGGCTGTTGGTTGAGCAAACCTTCGGGCAGTGAAGGTGCTTCAGTCTGCTTCAGTTCAGTGTTTGGGTGAGCAATTGGGGCTTTGGGGAGTCACTTTGAATTCTCGTCTCTTGGTGGGCCGGGGTGGCGGAACTCGTCGGAGCTGTCAATGACCCGGTGAAGCGTGCTTTGTGTTTGCCACTTCGACGATTGTCTGATGATGGTGGTGCTTGTATGGTGCTGTTGGTGGTGACGTTTATGACTGCGGTCGGCGTCTTGGCTTTGCTGTGCTTGAACTGTTGCTGTTGATGCACGGCTGTGTTTCCGAATGTGACTAGGCCGTGACTCCTCGTCGAGGATGAGTACAGAACGACAGTGATACTGATTATGGATCACGGGGCTCTACACACCTGCTGAGCCAGGAATGCACTGACGTGGGCTGCATCAGGTTTGAGATGTTGGGTGTTGCTTTCAGCTGATACGCTGGAATTTGCATGAGATTTCACACGCAAACCCTCTCTGCATCTCGGCCACGCACTACAATG